TTCATTTTTTATTCATTAAAGTTTTTGATGTTTGCATCAGACTTTTGACTTTTGAAAGCCACTCTAAATCAAAACATCGTATTATTAAGCCCTCTAAAAATTCATCACAAATCAGTTTACAGATGACATTGATGTCTTATTGCTATCCATTCCTCCTGGGCCATTTCTAACAATTCATTTTTTATATTCCTGCAGTGCTGAAATATGGTTCACACCAGTATCTGTCCTTTTAGTAATCACCAAAGCAAAGCTTGGCAGTTGTCATATATTGCACTCTTGAGAAAAATGCTAGTAATACTCTGAATTGATTGAACAGCATGGAATCAGAACTAGCTGGCAGAGAAACCATTTAACTGATTTCAATTCATAAATCTCTTTTCTCCTATCCTATTTTAGTTTAGAAACTGCTAAATATCGCCATTATCTTGTGATGCATAGAATGAACCAATTATTTATAAAGATATTAATTTAAATAATACGTGATTGCATTCATTAATGTCCCATATGAGAAGGCAGGCTTATGGATCTTACTGAGTAACTTTCATTTATGTATACTGAGCTAGAGAACATATATAACAGTCCTTGGCCAGCAGACAGTGATCTGTTTATTTCCCCAGAGGTCAACATCAGGTACAACGGCTTTCCTTGCCTTAAAAATAAGGTGATTTTGAACAGAACTTTACCCGCTTTAAACTACAATTTAAGTCCTTGAGCATGACCTAAAATGATTAGTAACACAGGCATCACTTATGTGACAAGGTTTAATTAGCTGGAGGGGATGCACTTACTGTCTAAAGCAAATGCTGTTACTTAACATGTTTTTAGGCGGGGTAAAAAAAAAAAAAAGAGTATGGCCAAGAACAGTCCTAAGGAATCTTGGAAATAGGGCTCTTGAAATTAAGTCCACAGAGAATGAGGAGATCAAAGGCAGATGGGCTACAGGTAAGTCAGGGACAAATTTTGGGGGACCAAAGGCAGAGCTCTTGGAGAAGAAAGACTGCCAGCACTGGTAAAGGAGGAAGAAATCCCAGCAGAGGACTAGCTCAGTGGGAAGTGAGGTCGTTTGTTCATCTACTACTATCATCCACCACAGTCCAGAAGTCCCTGCTTTGGAGACTGAAACCCACAGTGCTTGCTGCCTAAATGTCACTAGGCTACTACTAAGCTCATCAGCAAAGTTATTCTGTTGTCCTGTTGCTGATTGCCTTGATGCTTGTATGAATCCAAAGAAAAAAAGCAGAGACAGTAAAACTGTTTTTCTTTGTGACAGACTGGAGGAGTGTGATTGGCATATTCAAAAGGGGTTGTGTTGTTTATTAAAAACGGCTGTTTATCTGAAATGGACTGCATGTTAAACTCACTAAAATGGATAGTCAAGAGACAAAGCTGGGCCTGAGAGAGAACTGAAACTTGGGGAGTTTCTTCAAAAGCAGCATTTCTTCTGGGGAATTTATCGGCATGTAAACTAATTAAATATCTTGTGCTGAGATTCTGGATCTTGAAATCCAATTATCTGTACCAATGATATTCAGCCTTCAGGACCTGAAAAGCCACTTTCTCAGGAAACAGAGAAGCACAAACATACAAAATAGCACAGCACAATTCCGAATAACATCTGATGATGCTTGAATTGTAAATTGCATGACCCAATACCACACTGCAATCATTGGGCAGCACATAAAGCAATGTATTATTGCTCACTGGAACTTTATTGAGTTTTCAAACTCGAATAAAACTGATTTCTACTTTAATAGCAAAAAAAATTGTAAAAAATCTGAAATTACTGTTCCAAGACTAACTGTACTGAACGTTTCCTTCCATCTAGCTCTCTCTTAAGGCTTGACTCTCCTCCCAGGTCCCTTTTCAAAAGATGTGTATAGTTTTGACTCTGTGCGCAAACAGCTGTCTCTCTTGTTCACTATGCATGTAAGCTAGCTTATAACTTTGATTTGAAACTGTATCAAATCCGTTTTTATTTATTTATCATTTTTCTTAGGATCAGTTCCATACAATCCTTTCAGGTACAGAGTACAGCATAATCATGGTTAAGTCTTGTCTAAGAAATTCGCTGGCTGCTACATCAATTGGTTCATTGCCCTGAAAATTGAAGTGCTTCAGCCCATATGAAACACACCTCTATTTTTAACATATAAAAAACATTATCAAAAAAGTGAACACAAATATACTACCTGCCAAATCAAATCCTCACTGAAGCCTTAACTATGAGTGAAGAATTTTTTTTAAGACATTAAAATTGCCATCTTTTCCTCAAAGGAGAATTTTCATTCAGCCATTTTAGAAACATCTCTAAAACAGACTAACCACAACTAGAAAAATCCTTCTCTTGTATAACATGATAGAAGGCCATCACTTACAGCAGCAGGATAATATTTGTGAGTGTGGTAAGAACACCTCATTACTGATATAGCATCTCCCAGGTCATCGGTGCCTCTGATATTTTATTAATAATAAGACATTTGCTTCACCCTGAGCTGGTACAAATAACCAGCTGAACTCTTAGAATTGCTAAAGGCATTAAATGTTCTGAAACTCCTGGCTTCAACTCACTGACAACTTCCATATAATTTTGTTCTTGACTTTCTTATTATATCATACTCTAATTTATACATAATCTGAAATATGTCAGCTTTTACATAAATAGCAGAGTCAATAAAACTCTTTTTTTGTATCAAAATGAAAAGCCTCAATGCATTTCTGTTTAAAGAGCAAAATGTACATACTACCCTGAAATTTGGGCAATAGTTGGAAGCATTACTGTCCTTCAGTAAGTAACAATACCACCATTTTATCATTTCTGTGATGAAGCTTATGTCGATTCTGATGTATGTGCACATGTACCACCAGAACCTCAACGGGAAGTATAGAGCAAATTCCTAACATCTCATACTGTTTCCAGCAGAAATCTCGTTTGTCAAGACAACAGGAGAAGATGAATCATTTTGGAATAAGCTTTTGTTAGAGTCTTTGTTTGTTCTGATATTGTAAGTCCCAACGCCTTTTCATCTGCATTGTTTTGTATTACAGATTGAATAAAAGAGAACTGCCTGCATGGAATAAGCAACAAAATCTTTAAAATAACCTTGTAAGCACCCGCACATAAGAAAAGCAACACAAAAACATTATGAACTAATGACTATTTCCAAAAGTCCTAACAGTTTCAAGATGTTTTATTTATAAATAATTTTAGAGTTGAAAGTACCAACCCTTCAGTTGGATGAACAAAATTGATAACTTAGTTATTTGAGGATTGTCCTTCAGCTTCCATACTGTGAATACATTAATACATTCTTTAGTGAAAGAAAAATCATTAAGCATAATCATTAGGATCAGTTTGTTTTTTGAAATGCTTTCAAATGACTACCTCTGTCTGGATGGTAATTTAGGAACCAAGTAGATCTTGGAAATTTTTTTTTGTGCTGCACTCTAAAATTTGTCTGTACTCCTAATTTTTAGTGAGTATAATTATTTTGGTAAACATAAATGGAAAGAATGAGTTGGCACCTAACCTTGGCAATGCAGAAAACACTTTTAAGAACTCTGTATGTAAAATGTCCCTAACTAAGCTATTAATATGAGCATGAGATTATTAAAAGTGAAACATGCTTGGGATCCAAATCTGCTTTCATTGTTTAGATTTGTTAACTTTCTGCATTTTTTCCACTGTATATACTGATATGTAACAGTTTCAATTCTGCTTCTGAGCACTGGGTCAGCAAGCACAAATGCACATGCCTGAGTGTTTTTCAAATTCATAGTCATAAATTTTTTTTCGTGAATTATTTTGACTTACATGCATGCATTAGCACAATGTTTCAATATCTGAGCTGCAAAAAATTGTAGAAACATCTAGTGAACTTCAGCTTTCTACTAAATAAAAAACCCGTCCACATTTTAGCTCTTAGCATAATTCAGATATAGTATAAAAAAGGGAGGATATGATCACTCTTTATCAGCAGTATTTCTGTATGTACACATACCTCAGACAACAATCTCCATCCATTTACAGAGCATCATTTTTTCAAGATTGTGTCCTGCCTCCACCTTCAATCTACATGGACTATCCTAGACATCAAGGTTCCTGACCCACAAGTAGACACATTATCTAACCCCAAATGACTCTGCTTTCGTACTTCAGTTTATTAAGGTATACTTTATAAATCTGGGTAAATAAGATAAGGTTTCTATATACATAATTTGAAAAATATTATTGGTTAGAAACAGTAGTTAATAAACTAGTCAGCTGTGGCAGTCACTTTTCAACAAGAAATTATTATGCTGATTTTAGATGAGTAAGATAGTCTTTTGCTAATCTGTAATTTCCATCTGACCCAATATCCTTGGAGATTTACTTATGATCTATTAAAATGAATGTTGTCATTCTGTTTTCTAATTAATATATGTGAGGAGATGTCCAATAAAAAAAATCTTATAATGAGTGCCAATATGCTCCAGGTAACACTGAAACTAGATTATTTTTTGAACACATTGGTCTGCCTGTCCCATGCTGAGATATGTATCTCATAGTTGCTTCTATTTCATAGCACAAAGAAGCTCATTCATCACTTCCTACCCCTTAACGTGATGGCATTGCAATGTTATCTTGATTTAGATGAATAAATGAAGGTCTTTGCCATCTTAAACAACACTTTTAGCATACCACCTTTAGAACACCACTTGGATGAACACCAAATTTAATTATAAACGTGGAGTTTCTAAGTGAGATGGTATTCTTCCAGGCAGAAGAGTTTTAAGTAACAAGTTACTATGAAAATATAAATACATGCTAGAAGACACCTAAAAATGTATGGTTGCTATCTCTCCAGCAGTGACGAAATTGTGTGATTTGCAAAGCACTATGTTGTTATTCTGCCTCAGAGCTGACTGAGATAAAAATGTAAATGCTTTAGAAATATAAAATAGAGCACATATTTGTAAGTCTACTAACTTGTTTTTATGCAAGAACATGGTAGAACACATACCTTTCTTCCCCCTGTGTTTATGCGAAGTGGAGTTAAGAAGGGATCAAAAATCATATGGCTGGTTTCAATATTGACAGGTGACTGTCTTTTCCCAACAGAGCAAAGATTCCAAGCTGAATTCACCAAACCCCAAAAGGAGGGAACTGCAAAATACAAAAAAGTGCAAGTTTAAGAAAAGCCTGAAAAGACTAGAGAAATACACGCAAGGCACATAGCCAAATAATTAAGTTTGTCATATTGTCTGCACACACATGCTGAAACTAGCAAATTCATCTAGCACTTGAAATTTAAAACGGCATACACAAAGACCAAAACATATTGTTTCATATATTTTTGTATAAAGAATGAAGGTTATGGGTTTTTTTCTCTTTTGAAGGTACCTAGATATAATCCCAGGTTCAATTATAAATAGCTCCTTTGCAGTTAGTATTATGGAATATCTACTGAGCAATAGGAATGTGACTCATTAGTCTTTATGCTAATTTTGCATACATTCAGTGTGTCCTTGGACTGAAACCGTTCCATTCTACTCCTTTAAAATCCTTCATATTTAGAAGAATTCATTGAAAAACACAGAATTATTGTAAGAGAAACTCACACACTGTGATCCCAGAGAACAGGCCTGCTTTCTAGAAACATGGTACTAATTTCTGTAGAAATTAGTACTTGACCTTTCTCTAGTCAAAGTTTTGATCTAAGGAAAATCTTGTTGCAAAAGCCATATTCTGGTGGTGAAGAAGGATAGTTCCTTCCCTCTATGTGCAGTGGCTTGGAGCATGGAGGAACCCCTGATTTTTGACAAGCTGAGTTACTTTCTGTACCCCTAATTGGAAAAAAAAGTCATGTGACTATATAGTGCTTCTTATCAGGTAACTGCAGGCTGAAGGTCATATTGCATCTAATCTGCAATTTATACAGAAGATCAAACTGAACTTCTCTTTGGGTACTGAAAAAATTTCTGACTAGATGAGTAAAGATCAACTAACAAGATACACAAAGGACACATTCAAATTTGTGAATGCACAATTTGTCCCTGTCTAAAGTATATAAGGTAACTTTGACTTTATCAGAATTATTCTGTAGTTTTGTGCAGCAATGGAAATTTCACAGGTGCAACTGTTGATGCCTTTTTTGGCTTTATTTTGTCTTTTTACGTGTTGTTGAAAATTTTCACAACCTTTGAGCCTCAAAGCATTCTTCTAATCTACAAACTGTGTGTGACAAAGTCTACCAGACTGGGGGAAGGAGCTTGTGGCTGAGCCCTTGGGCAGGAGCGCAGGTGTTTTGCCCAGTGGGTGGAGCTGGAAACAACCCATCAGCTGCTTATAAAAAGCTTTTCGGTGGCTGTAGCTAGTTGTATGCAGGATTTTGTAGTGTGAATGCTTGTTTCTGCTTGCAGTTTTTGGATACCAGTGGGAACCACATAGAATTTTGGCTGGATTTGAACCTTGCATTTAGTAGACTTAATCAATTGGGAGGATATTTCTTGGAGGGGAAACAGGTGGAAGATATCTTCTGAGTAGTGTAGCATTAGGAAAATGGCTGATCTTGGTGAGTTTTTTCCTTTCATGTTCTATAGAACAACTCTGTTCTTTTTACCCTCAAAGTTTGAGTGTACCTAGCTGTAAAACTTTGGTTAGGTTAATATACAGCTTCATGTAACTTTTCTACAAAAGTAGATAAACTTCAGGGTTTTTCTTAAGCTATTGGTTACACAGTGAAACTTCAGTGTCAGTGTCTACATGGAAGTGATGGAAAGTGTTTTGCTGTTGTTGAGTATCTGCCTATTCCAATAGTTCATAAGCTACTGTCTACAGATGTTAATTTTATTAAAAAAATCCAAAAACTCAAGTTTTAGCTGAAGATTTTCCTTTCTTTGTGCTAGCCTGTCTCTGCATCTACAGGTGCTACACATGCAGGTGAACTCAAACAGCCCTGAAGGGATCCAAGTCCTACAGCCATAATTGACATGTTACCATTAGCAAAGCTCCAAGCTTCCATGTATACAGTTTTGAACTGAACATGTGTGACTAATACCTTAAATTCACAGGTGAAATATCCTTTCTTAACACCTGGCATGGACAATCAAATCAGCTTGTATTCAAAGCCCCAGATGGGTAACTACTCTTAATGACTACTGTATGAAATCTATAAGGAGGGATGACTAATGCTCTATAGCTCTGGGAAAGCAAAGATCTGGCAATACTGCACAAAATGGCTAGAATTGAGATGCTCACATCAAAGTATGTCAGTTATCTTGTATTTGACTAATAAACCCTGTGTGCAACCACATCATAGAAGGTGAGATGGAAGGCCTTTAAAATAAATAAAGCTTTATGTGATCAGAAAAATGAACAGGCAGTATGGTCTCAAATTTATTTGGCTCCTCTGTTTACCCTACCAGTCAATTCCTACTTCCATTGGAGACGTACAAGACTATGGAAGTTCCCAGAGTATGCTAAATGGTAGTGCTAATGCTTTGAAAATGAATAAAATAAATGTAGTGCAATTAAAAGTAAAACAAAGTACACAATTATTTGTGCTTTTTCTTAAGAGAAATACTATAGGATCTCACTTCAGCTTTTGTTAGAGAGAAAATCTCTCTTTATGCAGAGGCTTAAAATTAGGTTAATTCCTTATTAACAATTAATTTAATTAACATTTACTTAATTAACATTTAGGTTAACTGTGATAGCCTGGTTTCCCTTGATAAATCCCCCTGTGTTATTATTTAAAAAACCCCAAACTTTAATGATGAAATTGTAGAGCTGTAGGTTCAAGAGGGAAAATGCCGAAAGGAAATCTGTTGCTTGAATGGTTACTAAAAAAAAAAAAATCTTCTGGGCAGAAATACTCTTGGTATTGGTAAAAACAATTTTTTAGGAAGTTTTTAAAAATAAACAAACAAAGTAGACATGGTAAGTGCAATAAAATGTCAAGCTAAACAGGTCAGTCCATTATCTTCAGGTTCGTATTAGTTAAAGATTTTATGTTGTAACTGGGATTGTCCCAGAAAAGCTGCACTGGAAAATAGCTGCTATGAGGGGATGTTTTATAATGTTATTTCTGGTTTCGACAGAGAAATCTTGCATTCTGAGCAATGCCTGTCACACCAGCCTATCACCAGAAAGTCAAGAAGGTGGAGCTCCAATATTGTGATGTTGCACTGCTAAGGTTAGACTTGTCACCCTGCCACGTAAGTCTGTGTTGCAATCTTTGATTTCTTTCTAAACGCCTAGGAGGCTCATGCTTAAGAATCTTTCCAGTACATGCTTGTTGCTAGCTCTTACGTATGGTTAGACAAAAAGGACGTGCAGCAACAGTAAACCTACCCCAGTGATCAGAATGACTTTGCTTATGCTTCAACTGAAGGTTAATTAATGATGACTGACCTAAGACTGTACACCTAAGTTAACTACTGGATGGGGATATTATGCAATATTAATGTCTGATTACATTTAATTAAAGTAATTAGTGCTGACACTTAGGTGCTCAAAGTAATAGAAAAGTATTCAGAATGATAATGGAAAAATCCAAGGAGGCTTCTGTAAGAAACCAAGGCTTAAACTGAACACAAGTACGTAATTGTTTAGTCTAAAGAAATTAGTGTATGAATCTAGGAAAACATATAAAAATATTCATTATTTTACTATTCCCACTTAGCTAACAGACAAGGTTCTACTAGGGGTTAAGTCATTAATGAAACAGCATCTCCTTCCCCACAATTATGTTGTATTTCCATAAAAATCTAGTCATATATGAGTGAGAATATGCTGCATCTTTGTGTGTGGACCTCTGAGGCATTTTAGACAGCAGCCTGGCTCCTGTGCTGTACAGGAGCTACTCTCAGAAGCTCGTTTGCATGCAGTTCACGTACTAGTTTACAATCTCATTTAACAAGGTTCTTTAGCTACTGGTTATTCTACCGAAAGTTTCTGTACACTGATCATGTTATCTCTGCCTTCATCGATAAATCCCCCTACATTTATACTGCTTGAGAGCTGATTTGTTGCAAACATGTTATGTAAACATAAGGTGATAAGTTTTTGTGTGATTAATGTCATGCCATCAATCATCTCATAATAGAAAGAAAATTGGATAAATTCAAAGTTTATTTCCTCTGTGTGTCGGCATACTACAGACAATAGTTTTTGTATGTGTTATATGGGGAGAAGGTGAGGGGGATTACTTATGTTTTATACCTGTGCAAAAATCTGAGATACTTATTCAGTCTGTATCATATTGCGGCTTCTCTTTTTTTCAATTTACTGGGAACAATCTATATAGAGATATATAAAGATGCTCTAGTATCAGCATGACACAATAGAATGAGGGATTCTGATGGCTTTTACCAAACCTATGCATAACAACACTGAAATAATAGCAGCTAGAACAATAAAGGAAGGATTGAATGCTATTCTCCTAGTGATGAGTACCAAGGATTTGCCTAAATAAAGACAAGCCTCTCCTCTCCAAAGAAAAGCAATGAGTGAGCCGTGTCCCATGAGGATGACCTTCTGTAGGTACAGCAAACTTGCAGACCAGCATAATGGCACTGTCTACAGTGTGTGCTGATGGGCATGTAACAGTCTGCGTCCATGTTGTGAGAGGAGGCGGTAGATTTCCCAGTATGGGATCAGAGGTGTGTGCTGTGTACGACATTTTTATTGACCTTAGGAAAAAAATGATGCTGGACTCAAAGGGCTAGGCCATGAAAGGGTCGTGGGCAGTTAAGCAGTGTCTCTTAATCACTTGTCTGGCTCTCAAGGGCTTATTTATAAAAAAGTTTCTCAGTGTTCTACCCCATGTTCTGTTTCTGCATCTTGCTCAGCACAGCTGTAAAGAGTTTGTAGCTAGAATTTCTCTGAGCCACTTCCCGAACAGTCCTTGTGATGCATGGACTGAAAGAGTTTGGTCTGGCTCAGATGAGAACAGATGCATCACTTGGGGTGGGGTGAGCTGATTCGGTGCTTCCCAGCACACCTGGCTCTGGGGTCAAAGCACTCCTGGGGGTTCATCCTGTAGCAAAGCTGCCCTGGGCTCTGTCTGCCAGCTACATTCAAGTCCTGGCTGTGTTCTCCATTCTGAAATGACTGAGAAAGAGTAGAAGGCCATGCCCTACCTGGTGAAGTGTTACTCCATT